TTAAAGCAAATTTAATAATTCATTACACACAATAACACTATATAATTGACTGAAATAATATTAAAGTAATAGCAATTGTTTCGATTATCAGATTATACTTATCGTTTGATTTCGTAATTAATAAAAAAAAATAACATGTGCTAATAGTTCATTTGTTGTTGCTGTAAATAAATTTTTTTCATATTACTGTTTTAAATAGATTTATAGACCCGGAAATGCGTTTTTATATATGGTAGATAAAAAAACAAGTCTGGGCCTTTACAAGCCACATGTATGATTCCTTTTAATTTTGAAATGAGCATAACACAATGGTCTTGATACTGTATGATAAATATATAGTATATGTTAATGTATAGAAGTACACAATATTTATATATATATATATATATACACTAGAATACACACTATATACGTGTAATTAAACAAATCTTTATAACGCATATAAGTTTCTAAAATAGGTAACGATATTTTTCACTAAATAAGTTCACAGTTTATTTTTATAAATAGGTTTTTGAACAGTAGTGAACTATAACAACAAAAATTCTTTTTATAAAATTGTAATTAATTGAATTTTTGGCTGAACATGTAGCTGTTTCTAGTATTACCAAATATCCATCATCAGTGATCTTGGAAATAATTCTTGTGTCAAATTATTCGTAAATAATTTTTTAGGACTGCAAGTACCAGGAATCGAATTAGTGCCCTGCCAAATTTTAAGCTCAGAGACAGCGCTCCTTAACCAACTGACCCAAAGCCGTACTAGACTTTTATGTTCAAACATTTTTTGGAGTTTTATTAATTATCTGTAAAAGTTTTATTAACAAATTAACCCAGCTGTAGAATAATTAAATTAATTAATCATATTTTTATTTTCAATTGTTAAATTTCAGTACTATTCTGGTTGTAAGGGCATTATTTGTTGTATGATTTATACTTTTATTTTAATCAAATTGACTATGATATGTCTATAATGAATTCAGATAAATCTGTAAATAAAATTAATTATACACTCAACATTTAAAATGTTTTAATAAAAATTTCTTTTTTATTATTTTCTTGAAAACTGTAGCACAAAAATTTAAAAATATCTAATTGATTTTCTTCATATGCTTATGGGCTTACTAAAATTGCCGGTACAAAATCGTATGATATAGATGCACCACGTTTTCCCATTTAGCATTTTAAAGTAGGCAATTTTTTTTTATTTTGTCCAATCGATTCAGATCATACATCATCCATCAAAACTCGCGACACGCTGATTACATTCGCAAGAAGACACAAAATTTTTTTTATATTTTTTTGTGAAAAAAAAATGTCAAAGACCTAACATGTTTATGGGGTCAATTGATATATTCAATTATAAAATATAATACGATAAAGTGCTATATTGCCTGTCTGACTGTGTGTGTTCCTACAAATGTTGATTATGCGTTGCTCTCTGATGTGATCACACATTTAAAATTCAATTATATTGTGGCTCTAAGAGTAAGAAATTAACAAAGAAAATAACTACATATGATATGAAGTAATAGTTTTATAAGTTTTCAGTGAGAAAAATATATACAAACTATATATATACTTTATATTTGATAAATAATTATATTTTTGAATTCAGAGATGTTTTTATAAATTACAATATTGTTGATTTTATTATAGATTACTAGCTAATATAATAGATAATAGAATATCATCGATTTATTATAATACCAGTTCAACAGTTAAGCAGTCTTCCTGTTCCTATGTTTTTAAATTCTGCCAAATCATTCCTAAATCAATCGAAACAAAGCAGCCATTTCCCGCAGCATTAAAGGCACGTAGACAATAAACGGGCTGACGGTTTCGCCAATGTCAAAAGCAAAACGTGGAGCAAGGCATCCAGCGTCAATATATTGGGTCTGAGACATTTTGTACTCTGACGATTAGACACATATGGTACTAAAACTCAGATGCTGTAAGAAATCACAATTCAAAAACCACAAGATAAACAGTAAAGACCATAGAAAGTCCAAGTGGCTTGTCTACATGCAAATTGACTCCTTGCATTGAGCAGAAGGAATATCAAAATTCTCACCGGATTTTCGACAGAGCACTACATGCTGAAGTACTATTTTAATTTTGTTAAAATGCATTGAAAACAAAACCTTATATGGAAATTAATGCTTTGAATTAAGTGATAACATCGAAGTCGGGATGTACCTATAGTGTTTCGTACTTAATTAGGCAGAACTCGTCAGTACTTGATTCATAATGTCTTTCGATTTGTATTGTAGGTTTTTAAATAATTTTCTTAAGTGTATGTTGAATCGGTATTTGATTTTCATTTATTAACCTATATTCTTCTGAGTACCTATCATTCAATGGTCTGCATTTTTTTCATGCCATTTTTTTTTTAGAATCGTGGTTCACCGGTGTAAGTTAGTAATTAGTATTAGTATTTGGTAAAGGTTTAAGTGGTATAAACTACAAAAAAAAATTTTTATTGTTATTTTGAAAATGGAAAATTGGATAATATTGGAATGGTATTTAAAATTTTTGTGAACAAAATAGCGTTGTTTTAGATAAATTAAAAACACTTTTCGCTGTTGATAATAGATTATATGCATCCTTTGAAGATTATTGTGACAAACTCACCTTAGCTCTATAGACGAGTAGCAGTTAAAACTGCCAGTATGTCCTTTGGAGAGATGTTGCCTAATTTCGTTATAAGTGGATAGACAGTTGATAAGTACTGATAGTCCGGTACCTAAGTACCTGTTGATAAGAAGATGTTTCATTCACATTTTAAATCTTCTCTTCATACTATACGTTATCAATTGATATTAAATTTATTTATTGACTGTTGACATCAAGGAGAACTCAGCTTGATATTCTGTTTACTAGAAAAATGTTCTTATATTGCTTTGAGCGGACTTAGAAAAATCAGTAATTTCGTTTTAATTTAGAAAAATACAATATAATTTTAATAGCTTAGAAAACAATTGTTTACTTCAGCATTGCATATAAATTATTGTAATTTAATATTAATTACTAGAAGTGACAAATTTTCATTTTTCAATTTGAATTATTATAAAAACGGAAATGGTTACTGTGCATAATGAAAAATTATCAACTTCAACCAAATAGTTGAAGTACAGTCAGCCGAGTTCGACAATAGTTTTTGACTTATTAAAATTATATTTATATTATATTAAAAATTATATCAAAGTAAGTCTTATTATCATTATTGTCATAATGGGAATTCCACTTCAAAAGAGGTTGATTTACAAAGGCCAATGTTCCTTTGTGACACCATTGTGTGATTGATCTTGCCTTTTCAATAACCTCTGCTAAGATCATATGGTTTCCAATAGCAATTGTAACAGTCGTGTTAATCCACTGAATCCAGATCGGCTAATTTCCCCAAATAAAAATCTCCTAAGAAGTTGACCGTTTGTTTGAATAGCGTACGACAGTGATATAAATAAGTACTCAGTCGTTTACTAATCCTCACAATTTCTATAAGAGTCTCTACTCCGGGCATCTATGTAATCGTGCGCATTCGATTATGTTAAGTGATAATCTAATAAGCGATTATAACCTGTTTTATAACAAATTCTCCATCAAAGCTGCAGTGGTAATGTGGTGGGTTTGCTCTATCTATTAGTCGTTGTCTGCATTTACTGGAATATCCATCTTAGATGTTAGCTGTTAAGTAACTATGAAGTAGTTCCGTGTTTTCTCACAATATAAATATGGTCAGGAATTCAAAGTAAGGGAACGCCGGTTGCCTGTTTCACTGATCTCATTTAGATAGTGTCGTACACAGAATCTTACTACCTCATGGCTGGCGTACTCTTAAGTACACTGCTCAGATAAAAGTATATTGCTCAGATAATATTATATAAAGGATTATTTTTTTTGCGATTTGCAATTTTGCAATATGAATTGTTTTGAAAATGAATATGGATTAATTTTAAAAACTTCGTACATTCAAATTCCACATTCAAATTAATTGATAAATGTTTATTTATTAGCGTAGTATTTTGTCTGAAGGTGCGATACACCCGTATTTTCTTAGAAGTGACGAAGGTGTAGCACCACTATTCATCAATTTTTGATCGCAACAATCAAATGTTTATTTTTCCGCATAAAACATAAATGCGAGCGATACCCGTGTGTAGCTTCAATCGGACGCTGCTAAAAACCAGATACCACTCAACGCGTCCTGGTTTGATATCGTTGCGCAAGAAATTCTCGAATATAGAAATTTAGATTTTGGTAAAGTGAATTATCTACTAAGACGATTTGTCACCACTGAACTTAGTCCTGTGTGGTTTTAGTCCGACGTTTTGAAAATTAACATCTGTCAAATTACGGCTGTGTTATGTGCCAACAAGCTATCGAAAATTACTTCAAAATGATCTGGTACTGTAAGATGTCTCGTGAAGGGCATTTCAAGAATGTGTTTTTCAACTATATTTGCTTGCTTACTGTTACTGTTATTCTCTTCTAGTGGAGCATGGGGCCTTAACGATTCCTCTATAGAGTCATAGAGTGTATAGAGTACTATAGAGAGAGAGAGTTATAGAGTACTGTGCGTCTCTATAACAAGGTCTTATAATTGAAACAAAAACTTGATAGACCTGTCAATGACAAGTGTGTTTCATTTACGTTCACTGTGAAGCCAGAAAACGTGCGATTCTGTATATCTAGAAATATTAGTAAATAATTACTTTATTTACAAAAATTAGTTTTTCTATTTCTTCTCAAAAATTGTATATACCTTCTGAAAAGTGTAGTTGATTGAAATTTACAAAGATTAAATGTTACATTTACATTGTCGCACGCAAAATTTTTTCAAGAGATTATCTAATGTTTTCTATCAAGTGTTTGCATTTCATTAATTGTGATGTAATTAAAACAATTTATAAATTACATATAGTAAACATACAAATATTGTAGTGTTTATCTAATTATATAAATACATTTGTAGTATAAATAATTGTTTTAATATTTTTCAGAAGAAATCCACGTTCTTCTAACGCTCGTTCGATTGAACGTGTGACTATAGTAAAGACTTCAATTACCTCTGAAGATGCCTAAGAAGACCAGTGCTTTTAAAAGATGGCGACAATCACATCGCAAATTAATAATGGGCATTATTGGCTTTTCGCTGGGCATATTTGGTGTCCTGTGCGGCATGTTTTGGGAGCAAATCTTTAATTACATTATGGAGAAGGTAATAAAATCGTAATTAAAATTCATTACAAATTTCTGTTAATTTATTTTATTATTCATCAATTAACTTTGAATTTATTTCAGTAATTTTTTTTTTTTTAGTTAACTTAATTTCTTTTACGATAATAATTTATTTTAATTAAGCAAACTCGTGTGACTTTCTAGGCTGAGTAGGTCCGCATCGAATTGGCATTAAATTAGTGTTGCCAGTTTATTGTTCAATTTTCGTTGATTAGAGCCGCGACATCTACAATTATTCAAACACGGCACTACTTTTTTAATTTAGTTTAGACAATGTTATGATTTATTAATAAAAATATGTCTACCTTGATTGATGACTTGGCATTCTGCTATTTTTGCCTTGCATCCAGTAATTAAAACGATTGATTTTTATTAATGCAAAAATTTGCTCTGAACAATTCAGTGATGGTGCATTTCTCATTTCTATTGACTAATCAGTCAATGAATGGACTACAGTCAATACAATGGACTATATGCAAGTAAATTTCATAATTTGTTTTAATTAAAATATATGTTGTATGCATCATTATTATTTGAGCTACAAAGAATACCGCTTATGCGGCATAAAAATCTAATCTAATTCGAATTTGTATTTAACAGGAAAAAATGTGATTTAGTTTAATGAAACTATATAAGGAATTTCTAAGTATATTAAAATACTGGGTGACCTAATTGAACTGAAATTTATTGTAAATTGCCATAAGTCTTGAACTGTTGGTATTACTGTTTCCTTGTTTCGCCTTATACTAAGGACTGTTTATAAGCATGCGAAAGTATTTATATGTTATTTCTTTTTTTTGGAAAAAATTTATATCCCTAATGGGTATTATTGAGTTCTTCCTGTGCTGAACTTTTTAATAAAAGATGGGAAGACTCTAAGATATGCAGGCATCACACCGATAGAAATAAATCGAATTCTCTCATAGAGATGCCCCGTAGAGATATCAGTCTTGTAGTAAGTTAACTTACAGGTCACACAATCGGTACAGAATCGATGCAGATTATAGACCGTTAATCAAGGCAGAGATATAATCCAACAGCGTTGTAGCTACCACAATAGATAAAAAATTCAAAATATTTTTTTTTTTTTTGTACTGGCTTTAGTCATTTTTTACTGTTAAAATTAATTAAAAATAAATTACAATTAAAATTTTATTAAATAAAAATATATGCTATCGATAGAGAGAAATGTTTCTATTTCAATTTAAATTAGTTAAGGTTGTAGTTAAGGTTATTGATTAGCATCCTGAAACTGTTGGGATCAAGTTTCTAGACTTGTTATATATCGTTAGATATGTAAGATGGTATACAGCCATCAGCCAAAAATTCATTAAATCAAATAATAAAAAGTGTTGTTTTTGTAATTCACTACTGTTCAAAATCCCTCTATTCAATTTTTAAATATAATTTTAAGAAATTGACATTCGAATTTAAAACGCTGGAACTTGAATTCTTACCAATTTTGAAGTTCTCTAACAAAAACGAAATATGTAAGCTAAATAAACAACTGTTTTAAATTTTTTTCTTATTTGATATAATTATTATATATATGAATATTGCCAGTGTTTGTTGAACTTTATATTGATAACAACTGTGTAAAATAGATTAAAAATAAAAAACCCACAAACAGTTTTTATAAAAGGTTTTAATACTTACCACTTAGCAATTCGTCAATTGTCATCATTTAAATTTTGTTGTCTGGATCGAATATACATATATTATATCTAATAAAAAAATTATACATTAACTTGAATATACTTAAAAAAAATACATTTTATTACTTTTAGGAATTGATATTGCGTCCCGGTTCACGTATTTATGAATCATGGAAAAAGCCGCCATTAAAATTAAGTTTAGATATATATATGTTTAATTGGACCAATCCAGAAGAATTTAGAAACTCTACTGCAAAACCAATCCTACAACAGTTGGGTCCATATAGATTCATAGAAAAGCCTGACAAAGTTGATATTGTGTGGAATCCTGAAAACGAAACAGTGACATATCGCAGAAAAAGTGATTTCTTCTTTGATGCTGAAGGTAGTAACGGAAGCCTAGACGATGAGGTCACAACTCTTAATGCTGTAGCTCTGGTAATAATGAATCTTATTAAAATTATAAAACTTAAAAATTAAATATTAAAGTTTTATATTGTTTTTAGTCAGCAGCAGCTAAAGCGAAACACTGGAACTCAGTACGTCGTAAAATGGTTGATGTTGGTTTAAAATTGTATAGTCAAGAAATTTCTGTGATAAAATCTGTCGATGAATTATTATTTACTGGTTATAATGACAATATGATTGACGTGGCTCGAGCAGTACCAATATTTGGCAATGAAGTTGAAGTTCCTTTCGACAAATTTGGCTGGTTTTACACTGTAAGTGAATTACTCGTAACAAAAGTATCTTTGAGTAGTGCTCTTGATATCTTAATTACTTTAGATATACTTACACTTAAAATAGATTCCAATTATTATATTTTTAATAAATGGTTTATCTCTAAAACGAATAGTACAAAGACATTATATATAACTAAAGATATGTACTAAAGATATCTTTATAACTAAAGATATGTAATTATACAAAGATAATTAACACAATTATTTTTCAGCGTAATGGCAGTGCAGATTTAACGGGTGTTTTTAATGTTTATACTGGGGCTGGTGATATCACAAAACTTGGTCAAATGCATTCCTGGAATTATAAATCGGATACAGGTTTTTTTGACTCCTATTGTGGTATGACAAATGGTTCAGCTGGTGAATTTCATCCACCGAATTTGAAGGAAGGTGGTTCGGTATCATTATTTACACCCGATATGTGTAGAACTATACCATTGGATTATGTGGAAACGGTTACAATTGAGAGAATAAAAGGATACAAGTTTGCTGGTGGACAACGTTCTATTGATAATGGTAAAATATCACATTCATACACATTTTGAACAATTGCTTCAAAATATAATCTTTACAGGATCCCTATATCCGGAGAATTCCTGTTTCTGTGGTGGTGAATGTGTGCCTTCTGGTGTTATGAATATATCGTCATGTCGTTTTGGTTCTCCAGTATTTATGTCTTATCCACATTTTTATATGGCCGATGAGTATTATTTAAATCAAGTAGAAGGACTTGAACCAAATAAAGAAAATCACGAATTTTACATGATTTTGGAACCTAAGACTGGTGTTGCATTAGAGGTAGCAGCACGTTTTCAAGTAAATATGCTTGTTGAACCAATTCATACAGTAAGGTAATCAATAAATTCAAATTATTATTTTTCCAATTCATTACATGATCGCTTTAATTTTAGTTTGTATGAAAATATACCACGGATTTTCTTTCCGCTTATATGGTTTGAGCAAAAGGTACGGATAACTCCTGCACTGGCGTCGGATATAAAAACTTTGCCCGTCATATTGGCGGTAGGACAAATTTTTGCAGGTGTCTGTTTTGCTATTGGAATTATACTACTTTGCTGGTATCCATTAGAAGAACTTTGGCGTAAACATCGTCCTGTTGATCTCAAAACACGAGGACATAGTGAAAATGGAAAGCTGACTACAATATCAGTTGGAGATGAATCCAAAACTAAATTGTCAACAGCAGAAAAAGAAAAATTACCAGATAGTTCACCATTATTGGAAAAAGAATATAAAAAACCAGAAATTGTCACAAAATCTGAAAATATTAACAGTGTTGCTATGGATACTACATGCGATGAAAACTTATTCTCAAAGAAAGAAGAATAGTGGGGTTTTAACTCGGTGCCGTGCTACCGCCGTCCTTGTTTGAAACTTACTTTAACTTATTTGTTTTTCATTTTTGCTACAAGATTTTTAAAAAATACGAATTTTTTGTAATTTAAATTAGTATGCCTGTATGTAGGTTAATTATGAAATCAGTTTTTTTATTAACTGGTCTAAAACTATAAGAATACAAATATTTTTTAATTTTATATATAAGATAATATTTGATATATGAACGTATATTAAACGCATATACATATATGCATTGACATTCAAACAAAAAAAAAGACAAATTAAAATACTCTTATGCTAAAATATTAATAAAGCTTTAAGATGTTTTTTGCAAAGAACAATTTTTAAATATAATATAGTGTATTTTTATAAATTAAAATGTATTTCAGTATTTTTGTATGTATGTGTCTTTTTTTATTTTTTTTTAATGCTTAGAAAAATAATATATATTTATACATATGCAAAAGAACTACAAAAATTGTCAATATATTTTTAATATATAATTATGCATTATTATGCATTATAACTCAATATGGAATATAGTTAATACTTTTCGAAAAAACTATACTATCTTATATAATTGTATGAATTATATGTTAATTAACATTATTATTATATGTATCCAACGATTTATAAATGCAAACATTAACAACGCAAAAATACAAGCATTTTACAAATTTTGATATTAAAACTTAATGCCATAAGTCATACATACCTATATGTACATATGTATAAAAATGTATTACATTAGTTTGACATAACCAAAGAATTTTTTTTGTTTAATTTTTTTTTATAAACATTTGTAATAATAACAAATATGTTTTAAAAATTATTTAAAATAAAATAACTGGTTTTTGTTACAAACGAGGAAGAGAATGAGCTTCAATTCCACTATAAACCTATATTGATCTCTTTATAACAGATGTACGAAAATATAACAGATCTGGACGTGGAATGAATAATAAATTCAATAATAATAATAAGATTAAAAAAAATCCTGAAACATCCATTAAAATTTTCGCCTAAAATAGGCGTATGGTGCATTTTTTTAAAACCTTTTTTAAATCCTAAATTTATATTACATTTTTATTTATGGGATTTTTTTTCTATAATTGTTTTTTGAGCAAATAATGTGATTTCTATGATTGTAGAATAGGTCTTTTATTAAACTTAAAAATAATTTCGAAAGATCACTTAAAATGGGTGTTTAGCTATAGGGTCTGTCCAAAAAATTTTACTTAATAAAAATAAATATTGTAATTAGTTTCTCCACAATTAATCACTCTTATATCGGGAATAGAATTTGGACTTGTAATGAGTTTGCTAATATAAAGATTTGGACAGTAATAAATTCACAACAACAAGATTTTTGAGTTTTTATTATCATTCGCATATCTAAACTTTTGAACCAGAAATTGACATGGAACATATATGACATACAAAAACATAATATCACACGAAGATCTGGGAATACAATGGACAGACTATACTCCAAAATGAAAAATAAAATAAAAAACTTGGTGTAGTCAAACGTAAAATATCAAATGAAAGATGTCGGGAGCTAAAATATTGCATTTCATTAGATCACGTATCAGATTTAGACAATATGAAAATTCCACACCAAGAAATAAGTCAAAATAAATGTTATTTCTTGGAGATGTTTATAATTTTGAAAATCCCACCCAACGCCAGCTCAGGCTGGTTCTAAACGTACTGAGAATTGTAATTTATTAAATGCATGACATTTTTATTTGGCAATATTTACACACTTTGTACCCTACATAATACAGTATAATGCTGTTAAATACTAAACGATCATAGCTGCTATTTGCATAATAAAAAAGTTAAAAATTTGTCTTACATTATGTAGTAAATGATAGATATTTTTTTACAATAAATATATTAGACTATTAGCCGAGAAAACATATTTAAATACAAATTGGTTGGCAGAACATATATATAAATATAAAAGAAATAACAGTTAACTTGTATTATTCCAATAATAAAGTTTTGACCGCATCTTGATATAGCAACAAATTTAATGTTATAGAACGAACGTATTAACCAAAGTTATACATTAAATGATATATATATCATTTATTGATATATTATATATATATGTTATTTTTTATTTAGGTCAGGATTACTTTTCTTTGAATAGTAAATTTAAATTAATTCTCACAGTCATCAATGTTATATTTAATAGAAGTTTACATGTTCCTTTAACGAGTTCAGACTTTCCGTCTTAGTTTTATATCACAAAATTTTTATTTTGTTTAATGTAAATGTAAATAATGTTTATATATTTAAAAAAATTTATATTCTATTTTTATTTTATTATTTTCAAACATATTTCCTATATTAATTAATTTTATCTTGCAGACTAGTAATAATTGAACCTCATTTCAGCCTGAGCGGAGGACCCTAGAGCTTAAGTAATGAAAAGCCAACTTCATGGGGAGTATCGTCAGTTGTCTATACAGACGATCAATCGATTCTCACGCCTCCCAACTACACCAGAAAATGTATGTCTGTTTGTTGATATTTCTTGTGTATCTATAAAATGAGTTGTTAGATCTGTCATCGCATTGTTTTCAAAGTTAGAGATTTTCTACGCCACATTGCAAGGATTGCGACTATTCCAGTTAGGGCTATGGGTATACATTAAGACCTGAGTACAAATATATTATATATTAAGTGTATTGATATATATAATAGATCAGTAAGGATTTTGGTTTTGATATTGTTGCTAAATTTGGCGCTATGATTAAATGAACTGTTTTTTAATTTTATCTTGGCTGATTTTTGAATTGAATTCAAAACATTTTTTAAATCATAACAACAAAAATCACTTCCTCTTTAAGTAGTTGATGTGTTTTCTAGCTAATATCATAAAAGCTAACGCGGACAAAGCAGGGCTATTTACTTATATAATAGTGAGTGTTAATACCATTTCGTATACGGTTCAATGAAAGTCCGATAAAGGTTCTAGACTAGATATGACTAATACGTTATATTACACTTCTCCACGAAATTTTGGGGGAAAGTTTATCGCATCCATCATCCATTTTAACATTTAAAAACACAAAATATTGTTGATCATTGCTACATTATCAAATTATTTAAGCATTGGATTTTATAATCTATTAGGCAATATACTTGAAAAGAATTGTGTTTTTAAAATTCTTAATATTTAATGAGGTACCTTAATTATTCTTTAATTTAACTTATTGATTAATTATTATTAAATATTAATCAGTTAATAAGTTATTATAATGCTTATTAAACGTATTACTATTAAATTTTATTTACAATTTATATGCAAACATGTTCGTTACATCTGTGTAGATATAAAATTAATAATAAATCTCAAACTTGTTAGATTTGGGTATATTATATATATGTTTTTTCTACGTTAAAAGTAGTCACTATTCCGTCATAAAATTAATATTATTTTAAACGAATATTTAAAACTATTTCAAAATTCAAAAACATTATGTTGCATTTTTTAGCGTTTGCTTATTAATTAAATAGTTTACAATAAATACATTTTTAGTCTAATTATTACTAAATTATTAAATATATTTGAAAACACTAATAAACTATATTTTTAAATTATATAAAGAAATTTGCGTAAGTAATATTAAAAAAGTAATATGGAATATACAAAAAAAAACATATTAATAATCTTCAATATAATATAGTATTTACAAACAAGTAAACCTTAATCTAATTGAACAAAACAAATCTTTTAATAACTTAATTAACACGATTTTCAACTTCACGAAATTCTGCCGGATCCGTACAACGTACAGTTAGAATATAAAATACAGACGGAAATGGTACAAAGGCTAGAAGAGCAGTATGATGTCCCAAAGAAACAATACCGTAAGCCAGTAATATCCAGTGTGATGCTACAATAAAAATTTTGTATTCATTTAATCTAATTTATATGAAATATTTGATTTCTTACCAATGATGACCAAGTTTTTTAATTCAAAAGAGCTACGTATTAAAGCTTTATATGATTGATCTAGTTTAAGGGAATAATGTATGGCATTGGAAATCATTGCTATAGCTATACTTAAATATGGAAACGAGAAATCTAAAAAAAAAAAATTTATTATAACACATATAATATATAAAATATATAAAAATATAAAATTATTTTGACTTACATATAAGACCACCACCTAAAGCATGTATAAAAGTTAATAATGGTAAAAAGTACAGCGCGGAATATATAGGCGTTCGCCCACGTATTTTCATTATACTGACAATAATTGGACGAATCATAAACATCGTTACAAGACACATAAAATAAAAGACTAACACTATTGTTTGCCTAAAATTAAAATAAACTATTTGTGTATTAAATTTAACAATAAGATTTAGTGTCCTCACAGTGGATATACAGCTTCCTGGGTGCAATATAATCGCTGTTGATAGTTTGGATTTGGATTATAAAACAATGTATACCAGTCATTGAATTTGCGTACATGACATGAATGCAGTCGAAATTCCCATTGTGGTTCCATAACTAATACAGAAAGTAAAGCTGAAATGATTACCTCAAACAACGCACAAGCAGTTAAAGTGAGTTGTTTACGTGAAAATCTGTTGTATGGAAAAACCATAAATTATTTACGTTATTTGTGAACATACGTAATTATATGCATACTTTCTGTCCTTTGCATCTAAATCAATAAAAAAACAATGCAGCATAAATGGTAGCATAGTCATAAATCCTAAATATAGCCAGGAGTACAAAGGAAGTTCATCTTGACACTCCGCACAGGCAAAATACTCATTTACGCGCGATCCACGGGCACATGAACCACATTCACTCCACGTCCCATTGTTGTCAAGTAGTGTACGACCGCAGTATGTACCCGGACAACGTTCTAAGGATGTATACATTTTTGTAAATGTACAATTTGTGCACAATTTTTCTACATTTTCTTTGTAATTAATGGAATTTTGCTTTATTTACATATTTGTCTAGCTTTCATCCAAACAACTTGTTTATCAGACAGCTGTTTTTTCACCTCATTAATTTTGACAACCGTGGTGAGTTTCTTACCTTCACTTTACTGTAGGGTGTTACAATGAGAAAAATAATTTCAATTATATAAATTTTTAATTTACAATTTTCAAAAAATTACTTTAGCACGTTTTTTTATATGAATATATAAAATAAAAATAATTTACTGATGATAACAATTGCTCACACTTTTGAATTTATAATGACTAATTTTAGTTTTTAATTATAATTAAAAATGTTTCTTTCAAGTGCCCTAGGGTTATGTTATACAATAATGGTCACAATTGTCGAATGTGAGATTGTTGTTATTTTCCATGTAATATCATGTTTCCACTACACCTAAAACTACTTATGTTAATGAAATCAAGATTTGGTCGTTTCCATTGGTATAAGCTGATATATGCATGTGAAATATATTCTTTGTTTATGTCTTACAAATAATAAATCTGACGTATGTTTCAAATTTTAGTAATTTACCTTGTGGGAAATTTATTTTCAAGAGTCGCATTTGATATTTTTTGATTTAAATAAGTTAATTTATTTATAATGAGTTCATTTATATGAAAGCTCTTTATATGGTATAAATTTGTCATTAGTGGTTCATTATCCTTAATGAGGACTACTTGAACGAGAAAGTGGAAACATGATTCATATTATACAAAAAATCACGATCTCGTCAAATGTGAGATTGTTGTTGTTTTCAATGCAAATTCAAAAATTGAGAAATAAAGAAATTTCGATTTAAATTTGGTCACGAGGCTTTCTTTGCTTATCACTGTCAAACTTTGCGCTTAATGAGAGTAAATATGTGTTCTTTTGTATTGATGTTCATAGAAAAATAATTACTTTTTAAATTCAAGAAAAAAAAACTACTAAATTAAGCATTTTGCTAATGACAGAAAAGAGCGTAAAATTGCCTAGAACATTCTTCTATATAACTGTCTATATATAATTTGCTTCTTTTAAAGAAAATAAATGAAAAACTTCTTTTGTTTTTTTTTTTTGTCACTAATTAATAATTTTTTTTCCATGATCTTCGTTTCTCTGATGCTCATTAAAATTCTCAAATTATCAGAAGTTTGCAGACTTCGATATACACAAGTAGACATGTGTACAGACTTAACAAATAATAGAAAAGTTTTAATTTTACTACATACATGTTTGCAGACCGAAATTTGGTATGCATACTTAAATATACACTGTGCGATTTGGTAGCATGCATATTTGGGCTTCATACACATGTAGCATCGTCTATAGCTGCTTTATTACAGATTTATTCTTAACACACGTTATTCGTCGTCTGCTCTGACCGCGTTCTTCTTCCATTCTGCATTCTATGATCAATTTAATATGGAAACTATATTATACCGACTGCCATTAAATAGAGCCAAAGTATTTTAATTTTTCTCTTTTCACTGTTTCTAAGTTCTTTCATTCTTTTTATTTAACTAAAGCTATTATAAAATTTATTATGATCCAGTCCAACTTTTTTTCAATGATTTTTTGCAATTAATTTGCTAACGGCAGTGGGGAAGTCTATCTTAAAATAACCAAATTTCAACTATTTTAGTATTTACCTTTATATCATATACTTTTAAAAGTTTATTTTTAGTCAATAAACGAGACTACTTGTCTTTGTTAATTTAAAAATACGTTTATAATGTACATTTAAGGAGAGTTTCTCAAGTTATGATTTTCAATTATTTTAATCTAGTAAAATTATAGAGTACCCGTATATGGCGCTTACTTGCTCCATATTATTAAGAATAATATATGTAAATATATTCAAAGATTTTTCTATTTTACGGCGTATAGTGTTTTTTTTATTATTTCATAACCCATTATTATTCATTGAATCATATAAAAGTACATATTTTTATTTTTATTCAATTTATAAATATATTGTACAGCAAAACTATTAGAGTTTCCCTTTCTTTACATTAACTTCAATCATTGTAAATTTTTGTAAGAAAAGCCGGGTTAAGGGTCAGACTGATAATAAATGAAATCTATTTTCTTTTTTCTTTTTAAAGAACTGATTAAGTGAACATGTAATTTTATTATATTTTGAGAATATTTCTTTTAAAATCTCATAGTGCATATCCAAATTCTTCAGAAATTAGGGATTTATTATTAAACTTTTGATAGAGTGAAAATGAAGAGATACTATATATAAATACATATACTGTATATATACACTCCGTTTCACTTGAATAGCGCACTTCGTTTTTGCATTATTATTTGCTTATCTATCAATGATCTCATGACTTTGTTGTAATAATTGTTGGGTTTTTTTGTTTGTTTCCTTATGTAGTCTCCTCCAAAAAAAATTAGTACTGCAGAAATGTACCGTTAAATTTTCCCGTTATTTTCTTTTGAATTTGCATCAATAACTAGTATGTATTTCGTTTCACTTGAATAGCACATTTGGTTTCCAATTTAATTTATGAGTAGCAGCTCACTACAATATTAAGTTTTTTTATTTATTTGTGAGTTTTAAATACAGTGTGACGATTTAAATTAATAATGGGTCGTGGTAATGCTTTAACCACCGAAGAACAGGTCAAAATAAAAAGCTTCATTGATTCTGACCTGTCTGTAACTCAAATATCAAAAAAAATCGGAAGAAGCAGAAAAGTGATATACAATTTCATTCAAAATGATCTTAACTATGGAAAAAATATGAAAGGCCGTGTAAAAAGCGTCCTCAGCTATGCAGATAAGCGGGCTATTTTGAGGCAAGCTTCGAATTCGCATGATTCGGTTAACAAAATAAGGTTAAAAGCTGGTGTCAATGCCAGCAAAACTACCGTATGGCGGGTTATTTCGAATGCCCAACATCTAAAACGGCTTAAATTAAAAAAAAACCACCACTTAATCCTATACGTAAAGAAGCTCGGTTAACTTTTTGCCGTGCCAACATGTCATGGAGCAAGGAGTGGAATCGCGTTGTTTTCTCTGATGAGAAAAAGTTTAATTTGGAAGGGCCCGACGGTTACAATTATTATTTTCATGATTTGAGGAAAGAAACTCATCAGTTGGAGCGTTTACACAGTATAATGGGCGGAGTTATGGTTTGGGGAGCCATATCTTACTATGGCACTTGTGAACTCCAATTCTTAAACACGCAAAATCGTACCAAGGAGTTTTAGAAAAAGCTTTTCCTTCATTAGAGAATCTTTTTGGACAGTTGCCGTGGACTTTCCAACAAGACAACGCCCCAATACATACTGCTCGTGTTGTAAAATCGTTCATTGAATCCAGAAATGTTGCTGTTCTGAACTGGCCACCATACTCGCCGGACCTTAACATAATAGAAAATGTTTGGGGATGGCTGGCTAGAAAAGTGTATGAATCTAGAAAACAATATTCAACAAAAACTGAACTAATTGAAGCAATTCAACGAGCATGGGCTACAATTTCCCTTGATTATATTAAAATTTTGTATGATTCACTTCCCGATAGGATCTATGAGGTTATATTAAACAAGGGAGGTTCAACTCATTACTAAAATGTTAATTTAAACAAATTAATCCTTAATAATATATAAATAAACTGTCCCTAGTGCATAAAATAATTAAATTTATTTAAAAAACAAAAATGTGCTATTCAAGTGAAACGAAATTTTTATGCTTTTTATATACTTATTTAGTTTGTCATCTGTTAATATAAAAATTATTGAAAAAATGCAAGTTTTTTTATTTTTATAATAAAGATTATTAATCACACTACCTATAAAATCTAAAAAAAAATTGTTTTATTTCATTAGTTTAAAAGATATAAAGAAAAGGAATTAAATATGTGAAGTGTGCTATTCAAGTGAAACGGAGTGTATATACAGGTCAGATTAAGGCAGATCGTACTTATTGGTCGTCAGCGGTAGCAGATGTATTTCTACGTAAGTTTGCAGATAGTATCTTACAGTATAGCAAAACTTTAAGCGAATCCATGGAGTATTTGAAGTTCTGAAACGTTGTCTAAACTGTATTGACTGTTATTGAGGTTCTTATTACTTCCTTTGCTATGTACACTTAAACTAATTGTTAGTTAAAAAAAGTATTTGCCGTAATAGTTGAAAATACGAAACCCTAAATTTATTATCTCCAATATTATAACTGCATTTTACAGTGTTTATATTTTTTATAGAAATGAAGCTATAACTTCTAACAATTTTATTAAATTAAATTGATATAATAAATAATACCTAATTCAGTTTAAAATTATTCTCAATTCTTAATAATTCTAGCAAAAAAATTGGGAAGATTAAATAAAGATTTGCTAATAAAAAATAATTAAGTGTTTCTTAACTGCAAATAAGTTATATGAAAAATAATTACAAGTCAATATGTATTCAAATAGCCTTAAACTGTATTTAGATTGCCAAATGTCCTTAATTTTGTAAAAACGAAATTAAGTTAATTTCGAAAGTGTTTATATTACTTCAAATTAAGAAAATCATGTGTTTTTTGTTTACAAATCGAATGTTAAAAATTACATGCTCCAAACACCATTTGCATCTGGGAAATTTTAAAAGTTGATTATTGTAACTATAAAGGATGGCATTCAGTAGTTAAAATAATCAGATGGTATTCAGATTTCGTCAAAGCAAAGATGAAATTAAGATTTTTGTGAAATTAAGTTGTATCTGAACTTATTATAAGGCCATTTTCCTTAATTTCGTTCTAACCTTAAAACTGAATTTTGTTTGGAAAAAACAACTTAATTTCGCTAAAACAAAGATAAAATTAATTTAAACCCCAACCCTATGTTTTTTTTTTTGAAAGTTGATGCAATTGCTTCATATGAATGGTATTTAGAGGTGTGTATTTTAATATAGTATATTCATAATTTTTTTAAAATTTACTGATTCGATTAACAGAAGAAGAAACTAATTATTTTTTAATTACACTATTTATACTTGATTTAGTTATTGCTAACTACACTTTTTAAGTAAGAAAATAGTTCAAATACTTTGAACTTGAATTTCCGGTTACAGTCTACTCGCATTTTCAATCGCGATCGATGTTATTTT